CTTTGTGTTGGTCTTTCACGTGGAATTCTAATAAAATTGATTCATGTTTGTGGCTGTAATGTGACAAAATGTGGGAAAGTTCAAGGGGGCCGAATACTTTTGCAAACCACTGTATGTTCTTGGTTTGCTTCTTGTTAGCAAATGGCTTCCCTAAATTGGATCAGCCCACTCTCGTTGGTTAGAAAGACTGGTTACAGCAGTTAAAGAAACCATGGACATTTTAGCAAAGGTTAGCTGTAGTATCAGCCTCTGGTGCGTTTCTAATAAAAGACGAGCTCAGATAGAAACACCCACCCCGAAACAATGTCACTGGCATAAAATTTGCATACTGATGTGACACACACTGTTGGAAAGTATGGTATAGCGTGCCATCCAAGAGCTGTGACATACCACTGTGGAACTGACATATGCCACCGTGCAGTGACTGACATGCTGCTAGCAGCTTTTCAATCTTGAGGCTTTTTTTTAAGACCATTAATTTTACTGAAAACCACTTTAGTCTTTTTACATTTAAATCAACTTTTCTGGCTTCCAGCAACATATGAGCCCTCCCACCCTCTCAGGCCTTTGCTGTCTCTTTCTATAACACATCTTTTAGGTGATGGAGGAAGTCTCTCTGTCACCATGTGCTCGCTATTCCTTCCAGGAGAGGATTGATGTGTCTCCCATCTCTGTGACTGACAGACTACATAAACAGCTAAATGTGTTCCTCAGAGCTGTCTGGCAGAAACCTGCACCCCACCCTCCACCCCCCTCCTGCACAGGCAGAGGCTGTACTCACACTGATGTCCTGGGGGCCTGTGAGGGACGACGAGGCCGGGGGCTGGCACTGTTCTTAAACGCCTACACCAACCATGTAGATACACAGTGTGCAAGCTGCTATTCTGAGCGCTGCATATAATTTGGCGTTACGTCCTCATGGCATTAACTTGTAATCTTAATTAATTCATGAGCATTTGGACACATTTTGTAAGCATGTGTGATGTTTCCAGCGATATATCACACAGCAAGTGTGTAATCGCCGCTTTGTGATGCCCAGAAGGGAGAAAAAAGGGATGAAGCCAAGTTATGAAATGCAGTTATACACCTAATTTTATTCTATATTAACTCATTTCCTGAGAGGAACAGAGTGAAACGATGCACTTCTTACACTCATTTCTCCTCCATTTTTACACTTCTTCAATTTGTGTTTGCTCAAATCCTGTAGGTGAAGGAGCAGGACGCTGCTTCCATCTGCTGGTAACAGTTATGTACATTCGTCCAGAAAAGTAATGCAGGACTTCCACTGTAATGAGAACACAAGCCGTCTTTTATCCTGCAGTCATCTGAATTTGACTGTGATATTGTGATGTCTAAGCATGCAAATTCAGAGAGCATCTTCACCAAACTGCACGCTACAAATAGAGAAAAGAAATACACCGGAGATGTCTCCAGAGAATACTAATGAGTGGTGGATGTAAACACATAACTACATAATGGGGGAATCCAGTTTACAGCTGGATATTGCACAATGAACCTGTTAATGTACATGTAGCTGGACTGTGGATTAGAACGGCCAGAAAACCAAGCCATGTTCACAAATGTCACCAGGAAAAGTCAGACAGGCTAGGTATGACAAAAAGAAATTCTTAAAAAAGAAAACTCATTTAATACTGGCTGTCTACACCTTGAAAGTTGTCCTTCTGTAACACTGCACTGCCTCCCAGCACAGAGGCTGTTATTAGATTAGGCTGGAAGTCCTGGTCTGACTCCTTGTATGTATGAATTTCCAGTAAAGGCTGGATCTTCTCCAGCGTGCACGATGGCATGACAACAACCATGGACGGTATAAAAGATGGACTGCACTGTGACGTCACTAATTACTTAGTCAAGTTCTGACTGTTAGAATGACCATAATTGACTAAGTAAAATGGATGTTTATTAAACTTATCAGTAAAGCGCTTACTGAGGTCAGAACAGTCGGGTGTTTTCTACAGGACTGGAAGACTTTGTTCAACCGTAGGTGTTCCCCTCTAGTGGCTGGGAGGTGCTTTGCTTTGGCTTCAGTTTTCCAGACCTGCAAACTGCTGAAAGTCAGCTTGTTAAATGGCAGCAATTTATCCTTTTTGCTGACTGTCCTCCATCAAGCGCCTCACACAATTACAGCAGAACTGTGCTTTGACAGTTTGTGCTTTGACCCTGAGGTACACCACTCTGTGAAAGGCCAGCATACTCCTGGTCCCTCACCTGACCTTGTGTACCTGCTGGTTCGGTCTTTGCCTGAGAACCAGCTCTGATCATCAGATCACAAATGGCCTCTTTTAATGTATATGCTGATAATTCGTTTTCAAATGCTGGATTAAATGTTTCTATATATGATTCTGTTTTTACCTGTTCTTCTAAATTTGAGAATCACCAGTTTAATCACGTGACTGAATGATGTGGCTGTGGCTCAGGTGGAGTAGGTCCTCAACTAATTAGAAGGTTGATGGTTCAACCCTCTGCTGGTCCAGTCTGTATGCCAAATTATCCTTGGCAAGACACTAAACCCTGAGTAACTTCCAGTGCCTTCACTGGGGTGTCAATGTGAGATAGAAAGTGCTAAGGTGAAGGAAAAATGTACTTTTATCAATGAATCAGGCTTAAAGCTCCATATAAGAACCAGATCATCAATCATTTGATCATCTGGACATGACGAAAAGACCTAAGAATTCATTTCTGAGTTTCCCAGGATGAAAACACAGCAGAACACACAGGGCAGTAAATGCATCTTTTTTTCCTGATTTTATTTTGCACACTTTTTACTGTACAATCAATTTCAGACTTTTTTCTTATCTTTACAAAGTAAAAAAAAAACTGAATCTGTTTCAAAAAATAAACTGTTGATTTTTAATATGTAGTTTAAATATTTTTGCATAAAGGAATACACATTAAAATGAGAACTCCAGTACAGTCTAGCTTTCTACTGATCAATATTATACAGTGTAACACTTGTTCCTCCACACGTTTCATAATACTTTTATTGACACATGAAGATATATATCTATCTATATCTATATATCTATATAGATATAGATATATAGATATATATCTTTATATAGATATATATAGATATATAGATATAGATATATATAGATATATAGATATATAGATATATATCTATATATCTTTATATAGATATATATAGATATATAGATATATAGATATAGATATATATAGATATATATAGATATATATATAGATATATCTATATATCTATATATGTCACACATGTCATGCTGTGTTTAGACGACGACCTGCAGAATTTCAACAGTCTTTGTGAGTTTGTGTTGGGGACAGTCTGACTTATTACGGCCTCCTTTCTCTGCTGCGCTCGTTTTGTCGCCGTGTTCGGGCTGGCCGCTCTGTTGGTGGCCAAATTCAAAGCTGATCCTGAGCTCTCCCACATGACAGCGAGGGAGAACGTCTGGGATCCAGTCAATCACAAACGGGCAGGCCTCCTTCTGATCTGCTGCTCCTGCTCGAGAAACAGCAGTGTAAACATGGCTGTGCAGGCTGACTTCAGGTGTAAAAGAAGAAAAACTAAAGAAAGAAAGAAAAGTTACTCACCGACTTTGAGGAAGGTGCGGAGCTCCATTGGTCGTATCGCCTGCGGCCGATCTGACTTGCATCCTTCTAGTGATTCCAACTCAGGCGGAGGCTCGGGGCAGCGAAAATGTGAGTACGAACCGTCTGCGTTTTTCACAAAACTCTGAGTGACCTCCAGCGGCAGCTGTTGGGCAAGACAAGAAGAAAGAGGTACGAAGTTGTAAGAAGAGGTCTGGGGTCTGCCAAAAAAACCACTAATGAAGATCTTTCATGAAAGAAATGCTGTGTGATTTTTTTTATTTTATTTATAGATGCGAGCGTTTACCTCAGGAGTGTCAAAGATGCGTTTGACCTGCATCAGATTGGTGATGTGCCAGGTGTACTTGGAGTAAGAGGTCTGAGGAAGTCCATCGTTTCTCACAAATGCTGACATTCACACAAATAAGACAGAGAGAGAGAGAGAGAGGCGTATCACATAAGTATGAATTTTTGGGCTTGTTTAGCTGGAAGTACCCAGATTCACAGGAGACATTCACAGTTACTGCAAAGGGTTACAAGAGGAGTAACGAGGCGATGAAGGCAGACTTACTACATTTCATTTTTTGAGTATTTTCTTTTCTCTTTAATGATTTGTGAGATGATAAAAATGACCTCCATTGGCTTGAAACTTAAAACCATTTGCAAGGTTTTTGCGCGGCTGTGTTACGATGGTTCATGAGTCACTAGTTTAATATCTGCCATCGTGCTGTAATTTGTAAGATTATCAAGTACTTTCTGGGTGACGAACCAGAACGTCGCTGACATAGTTTGCATCACAGTTCACAGGTTACTGCCTGTAAAATGATCATTATGATCTTAAGCACAATTTGGGCAAAGACCCGTTACATGATAATTGTGTGCACCTAAATTCCGACATCACTCTGTTCTGAAGTAGCGAATCTTGTGACCTGTGAGCACACGGACACCTCAACCTGGGATAAGCTCATTGGTTCTTTTCCAGGATGAGCTACACAACGCTAGACTCGCATCGCCTGGATGCTCAGCTGTGTGGTTTTGATTTCTGTCTTACTTAAAGCCTAATATGTTCCCACCTGTTGTGAAGTTAGGCAGTCTCCTCTTCTTGGATCCGAGCGACAGACGCTGCTGCAGAGCGTTGAAGAACTCCTGAGGAATGTGGTAGACCAGAGGCTCTGGCTTCCCTGATGGGGAAAAAAAGAAACAGTTTTTTTTCTGTGCGCAGTGAGAAATTTAAAGCCTGTCATGTTGCAGAAACATGTACTACGGGGATAAATAAAGTATACATTATTATTATTAAATTACATAAAAATTAATTAAATCGTTTAATTTTGTTTTACAGCTCTGCAATAAGCAACTAGAAACTGCTATTTTCATCAAAAGCAGAATAATATTTGTGTTTTGTTACTACAACTGTGTGCTCCCCAGTTCCTCAAGTTAAAATGTGTTAACAGCGTGTTTGCGCTGCCCCCTGGTGGTTAAATACAGCAAGTACAGCATATTTAACAATTAAACGAGTGAACCGTTCCAAATAAAGGTTCTTTGCATCATTAATTTTTAATAATCTGTTATGTTGTTCATGTTGATAACTTGGAAATACATTTTTGTTGTTGTGATTTGCTTCTTACTGATTTATGGTTTCACTGGATGTAAAGTAACTAAAACATTTATGAATTATGATCAAAAATGTGACAGAGCAACATGGAAGACCCGGCGCAATTATTGGTCAAAAAAGTGAAAGGAGGGTGAAAGTGTTTATTAAGTGTTGGCTAAAGTTTCGTATAATGAGATACTATCTCTGTATCTGACCTGTATCTCATTGTATATCTGCATACTGACAATAAAGACATTCTATTCTACAAGCAAATGAATAAGAAGTCTCTGTGAGACAAAAACTCAGGCTTCAGTCTGCTCCAAACACTATGTTTCAAGAACTTTTTTCTACTCGTGGCTCGGTATGATGTCAAACATGAGGATATTTTCTATGTAAAAGTCTCCATTGTACCACCGGAGACAGGTGACACTACTCTCAAAGACGCAAGATTTCATGGCCTAATTTGTTGAAAATACTTTCGTTTTAGTGCTTGAATCGTTGTTTCAACTTTACCATCACACTGGTAGTGCATGGCCAGGTGGATCCTCTCTGTGATACTCGCCAGCCACTGATGAAAGCCCATCGTCACCGTATGCTCATCCACGGCCTGAGTGCTCCCTGAGACATACAAATATTTAGTCTTCAAATCAGATTAAAAAAGAATCCAGACATTTTCCTGAACTAAATGTTAGAATATGCTACAACTGTTATAGTATCTTCTGTGTTCTTTTTGAACAGTGGATCGGGGTAAGTGCTGCAAGATTAGATCGATGAAATGACAACCACAGAGAGAGACGTCTGAGGAGATTTAAGGTTCTTTAACAGACACACACAAGAGAGGTGGAAAGGCTCCAGTGGTGAGACAAGGCAAGGAGGTAGCACCTGGAGCCTTCGGCCCACCAGCACCAGGGGCTCTCCTGTGACCAGCTTTCCTTGGGCAAGAGGCCGACACTCCCTCCTTCCCCACCCCAGAGAGAGAAGCCACTGAGAGGGCTTCACAGAGGCAGCAGAAAATGACAGAGAAAGATAAGACAGGAAGAGAAGTGAGGACAACAGCAGATTTAGAGCAACATCGATGAGCACAATGATTTGTGCTCAGTTTTTCAGAAAGAATTACGATCAAACCACCAGAGACAGATTCATCCAGGTGAAGCTTCTTGGCTCTGGGATGAGAGCCGACGGGTTCAGCCTGCTGCAGAGGTTTCTCACAGGGACTGATTGTTCTACCCAAAACTTTTTGCTGCAAGCCTGAAAGGAAAACCACAAGGAGAGGGACATGCTAAGACATGTGATCAAGCATGAAGGAACAGTTGGCTGAGCTGCATTTGTGGCCAAGAGTAAAGCCGTAAGCTGGTCTGTGGTGCTTTTTATACATCTAGATTGTTTTGGTGTTAGAAACCCAGTCTTGGAGACATCTGCTTTCTCTTGACTATGCTTAAGTTAAATGGCACTTGGGAAAAAAAAGCATAATGAGGGGCTTTTTCTTGTGACAGAGTGACACAACCAAGCCATGCTCAAAGTCTTCTCCCATTCTGATGCCCAGTTTGAATGTCATCAAGTCACCTTCGCTGAGTCACTGCCATATGATTGGCTGATCAGACAGTTTGTATTATAGAGCAGTTGAACAGGTGTACTTCTGAACAACTGAAATATATGGATATTTCTTCACTACTACAAGTCGAGCCTTCTGGTTTCATTGCATTGCAGAAAGGCAGACATACCCACAGCTCAGGGCAACTCACACCAAAACAATCAGGATTGATTTAAAAAAAAAAAAAAAAAAAGCATTACAGGTCAGAGAAAAATGTGCAACTCTGATTTTCGCCAAGTCTCTTAGTAAACATCATGTGCATGTACATTCAATTGCTGTTTTTTTAAACAGTATTCCTCTGCAGCCCTCCAAAATGACAGGTTATTATCACTAATATATGTATGTGTGTATCTTTTTGCTTGTTGAGAAGTTTCATAAATAAAGAGACTGGATTCAGTATTCTTGTCTGACAACACTTGAGTACTAATGTAATCCCAGTCTGCTGCCAGGTTCTGTCGAAACTGGTTGAAATCAGCTGGGTTGCCGTACCGCTGGAGGCGTAGTTGAGGAAAGCTGAAAACTCTGAGGCCAGCTTCTCGTCGCTTGCAAATGCACACACGCAGGCAAAGAAGTGAAGGCAGGGCTGCAGAGTGAAAGAGCTGGGAGGCGGCTGAGAGCCGCCTGCTCCGTCCACGCCGGCTTTATTTCTTCTCGTGTTAACCTGGCAGGCACAGTGAAAAATGCTTCTCTCGCTCTTCAAAGCCTCTGATGACGGCCCCCCTGCGCCTACAGTCAGATGCAGCAGCCCCAGTGGATGGTGCGAGTCCGTGTGACACTTCACCACCAGCGTGTCTTTAGAAACGCGCTGCACCAGAGGCCCCGGAGACTCCGTGGCCAGCCGCCACAGCTCTTCTTTGACTTGATCTGAGGCCTTCAAACCCTCCAGGACTGAACTTTTGAACGTCAGTGGGCTGGCACGGCTGCGACACTCTATGGCTTGTTTGATGTGGACACAGAGGCTCTCGGAGGACTGTTTGGCTGCAGGTGACTCGCCCTGATTCGATCTTTGACCCTGTTTGCAGGAAGGCAAAAAGCAGCGGCCCAGGTTGATGCGGGTGAGCAGGGTGGGGCCATCCCCAGTGGCGATCGCAGTATCCGTGGGAACGAGTTCCACAAAGCCACACTGTGTGCCTGTGACTCCTCTTCCCCTGTGACATACCGAGAACACCTGCACACCTCCGCCTGAGCCACTGCCCAGGACCCCTTGTCCCTCCTGCTCTTTCCCACCTCTCACCTCACTGTCGATTATAACTTTAACCACCTCCACAGCACATTTCCTGCTGCTTCTGCCCGTGGATGAAGCATTCCGGAGGGACACCCCACAGGCCTTGTTCTTGCAGCTGAGCCCACGGGTGCCGTTGTAGACCCCACACTGAGGACACTTGCGAATACCCCGCAGGGTGGCCCTTCCCAGGTTGGAGAGGAAGGCAGGAGTTGCGGCTGAGGACTTTCTGCTGTCTCTCTGTTTTGCTGCCAGGTTGGCCTGACTGGTTAGAGTCTGTGAAGTGGGGGTTGACAGGACGCTTGAAAAGGAGCAAACTTCAGTTTCCATTGTTTTTAGGAGGACATGAAGGGATTCAAGCCTTAAAAAATTTTAAAAAGAGGGAAAATAAAATAAACACGTGCATTAAGAATAAAGGGAGCTGTGACTAAATGTTACCAGTAAAACAGTATTTTTGATTTATAATAGTATGAAACTTTAATTGAAATAACACTCAGCCTTATTCATTCTACTATCTACATTGCTTTTTTTAAAGTGCTTTATCATATTTCTGTTTAACCGCTACAGCACCTCTCTATAAACAAACCTCCTATCTTACATATGGTCTTTACGTGTGTGAATGTCCAAACTACCTATAATCTGCCTCTTTTGGTCAAATCCAGCTCAACTCAAACCTCCAAAATCGTCTCGACCGTCGCCATTGCTCCTTACATCCCGACACCCGCATTGCGCCTGTAACGACACTCCCTATTGGCCGGAGACGATCACGTGGTGTAGAAAGGCGGGGACAGAGCGGTTGACTAGAGCTCAGGGCTCTGGGAGGGGACGGCCTCAGGAGCATTGGCTCATGGGGGCTGTAGTTATTTTGAACTGTCGGGTGGACGTCTGTGACGCTTGTGTTGATGAGGCTTTTTATGTTGATTTGTTGATCATGTTGGTTTTCACATGAAATTAAAGGGCGCCAAATATTTATTAAAGTCCACTTTAAAAAAAAAGAAAAAAATATATATTTAGAGCAAGTGTGTGTTTTAAGGTATATTTATTTTGTTGTATAGCTTTTTTTATGTGTGTGTACATATATGTGTGTGTGTGTGTGTGTGTGTGTGTGTATATGTGTATATATATATATATATTTAGTTAGTTAGTTAGTTTTTTAATTGGTCTGACAAAAAAGCCAAGGGAGTTTACATGTGCTTCCCATGTGTCTTGCAGTTAGTGGGGTTTGGTAACTTGCGGATTCAAAATTGCCCATAGGGATGAGTGCAAATGTACACTGATCAGGCATTACATTATGACCACTGACAGGTGAGGTGAATAAGACTGATTATGTATTCATTCATTATTAGAGAGCAAGTGAACTTTTTGCCCTCAAATTTTTATGGGCTAGAAGCAGAAAAAAGTGGAGATATCATCTGAATTTCAGGAGCGGGACCACTCCTCCTTCACCCCCCTCTGGGCTCCCCTTCACCAATACCTGCTGTTCTCATTTTCATGCCCCCCCCCATTTTTCCTCTCTTCTCCTCTCTTCCTTTCCTTCATTCACTTCTCATTAGTACATGGGGATCTGCCTGGCCCAGGAGCCATTGCCAGTCCACTTCAGGGCCTTCCCCAAACCTCAGCACCAGTTCATACTTCCTCATCCCTCATCGCCCATCGTTACTGAGGATGTGGTCCCAGCTACTGAAATGGGCAAGTGTCAGGATCTTGCGAGTTTGACAAGGGCCAAATTGTGATGACTGTAGACGACTGGGTTAGAACGTCTTAAAAACTGCAACTCTCATGGAGTATTCCCAGTCTGCAGTGGTCAGTATGTATCAAAAGGGCTCCAAGGAACAGTGAAGCAGCGACAGGGTCGTTGGTAAACAAAGCTCGCTCATACACGTGTTGTGTATCTATATAAGATCCCATAGTTGACAGTGCATGACAGAGCACAAAAGAAGACATGAAATCTAAAGAATTGTGTGTAAAGCTCTGAGACAGGACTGTATTGAGGCACAGATCTGGGGAATAGTACAGAAACATTTCTTTTTTTTTTTTTTTTTTTTTTTTTTCTAAATGACAGAAACATTTCTGAAGTGACTGCTTAGTAAAAGGCACATGATAGTCCATCTAGAGTTCAACAAAAGATACAGTGGGGCAAAAAAGTATTTAGTCAGCCACCGATTGTGCAAGTTCCCCCACTTAAAATGATGACAGAGGTCAGTAATTTGCACCAGAGGTACACT